AAAACATGATGAAATTTAAAGCTTTAATGGTATCTAATATATAATTAAAAACTTACTTTAAATTTTATAAGATCAAACTCAGTAAAATTCTCTTTTCTGCTAAATAAATACATCTTGTTCCAATGATAATAGACACTGACTAAAGCTTTGTTATATCGTTTTGCAATGCTCATTTCTATTAATGTCTTGTAATGTTTTATAATTAGCTCTTCAGTAACGAATAAAAACACTTTCATCATATTACGAAATTCATCAGCTGTGAATTTTTTAATATTTTCTAGACCATTTTTAAAAATCTTTAACTCCAGGAACCTGGGAATCTTAGATAAACGATTATCAAGTTCATCGACAGCTACTTGACTACACAAATCTCTTAGCATATCTCTTGTAAACTTTACTTGATAATGAAATAAGCCGAGATCGAGATGGTGCATTCTATCTGGCACTGTTGCTATATATATATTTAGCTGGCTAATATTATTAATATAAAAAATTTTGAATTGCATGTTAAATTTTATTGAACTTTAAAGTTATTATTAATATTGTTTTTTTTTAAAAAAAAAAAAGTATTTTAAATATAATTACAGATATTCCCAGAAAATATTATTTAAGTTATACATAGAGTATTGTTGTCCAAGTTTTTGATTTACAAAATTCTTCATTGTCTTCGGGGTTCTTATTATAATTTAATCGGTAGTTAACTTCACTTTATTTAACTCGTTATCTAATACTAAGCACTTGTGACATGAATGCTTACAGTTAACTGAATTATATGTCAATGTCAATGCAGCATCTTTTGGAAGATCACCCAACAATATAGAGATAAATGGATAGCACCATAAATCACCACTGTTTGTTTCAAAGTCAAATCCATTTTCTGTATAATCAAGTAATGGTTTCAATAAAATATCTAATGAATATTGATACAAAGTTCATTTTGTTATTATAAATTTAAATAATTTTTCTCTGTAATTGTCTTTGCTTTTAAAATTAGAAAATAGACCAAAAGAACTTTAGCATCAGGCTTGTTTCTGCGCCAACTGGGAATGTTACCTAATGTTAAATATACTGGGTGTTCACTTGACTTTCCCAGTTAGTCACATGTAGTAACATCTGTATACAGTATTATCGATAAAATGTTTGCATTATTAGGAATTGTTTTTTTTGCCCTCTCCACTACTTCCTATTATATTGTTCATAAAATATCCATTGCCCTTGATGATATAATGGAGTAAACTCAAAGACACAATGTTCATATATATCTTGATCGCTTAATAAGTCCTTAATACAATCAAATATTAAGCAATGGTGAAGGTAATATGTTTCTTCATTATATATCATTATAGGGGTTTTTTTAAAAAAACATGTGATATTTCTGTTTTATCTAACAGTTGACGGCCCTGTTTGGTTGAAGTGGGCAAAATCATGTCATTCTGATATATCTTTTGTGAAAAACCTAAGTATTTCACTTGCATATGTGTCTGATAATTTCTATTTTATAATTAATCCCATAAATTTGCCAAATTCTTTGCTAGAAAAACCTAAATTATTTTCCTTTAAACTATGAACATCAAGAGATGTAAAAATTACTGTTGGTTCTACATCAAGTAATAAATACTCTACAATGTCGGAGATTTCTGTTTCGTTAATTTCCTAAAATAAATAAATATATATATATAAATATTACAGTATTATATACATTATGTAGAATTATGCAGGGCTGAATATTTTTAAATCTGCAGTGCAACTAATACTTTATGCATACTAACCACATCAGTTTCATTATCATAATCCATTTTTTCTATGCTCATAATTGCTTTTTTTTGTTGTTCTTCTTGTTTCTTGTTACTTAATTCTTGAAGCACTTGTTCCTCATCAATCAATAATTGAAATTCTGGTTCTTTATCGCTCAACAATTGAAATTCTGGTTCTTTATTGCTCAACAATTGAAATTCTGGTTCTTCATCGCTCAATAATTGAAATTCTGGTTCTTCATTGCTTAATAATTAAAATTCTGGTTCTTTATCACTCAATAATTGAAATTCTGGTTCTTTATTGCTCTCATTATGCTGCATAGCATTTCTCTCTCTTTTATTTTCAATTTTCTGTAAAGCTGCCTCAATAATATCGATATTATGCATTTTTATATAGTTTCGCAAAGAAGAAAGA